GTAGATGAGTGTAATGGGTGTTATTTACAGAACAGAGGGTTAGGAGTTGCTTTTTTGAGCATTACTACAAATGTGAAGTTTTGCTTTAGCCCATTTTTTGCTACCTTAGCAGCAAATCCAAAATTTGTTTTAGGCTTGTTTGAGTGGATTATGCACAATCGTTAAAGTATTTTTCAACTTCTTCGTTGAACGAAAATGGGATTTTAGACTATTGTTTGCTTCGGGGGAGGGGGGGATGCCGTCATCGCATTCGAAACTTTTCGGAAGAAAGAGTCTTAAGGTCGGGCCAATGCTTTCTTTCTTTCTAGAGACTTTGACTTGAAATAGTTGCCTTCCTACTTCATAAGCCAGCTTATTCCTCCTTCATATACCTTCCTCCTCCACGTGAAGGACCCTGCATGCATGCACTTTTGTTAAGTTGATATCCTTTGCGAAGAAGTGAAGCGTCTTTGTTCTCCCCTGTTTCTTGGCTTAGAAACAGAGACAAGCTAAGTGCAAGGGAGTCGGGCTTGAGTGTCAAGCATGCTCAACTTGGAGGAGAGGGAATGGAGGAGAGAGAAAGTGGGGAGGAGAAAGAGGGTGAAACTAGACTCGATGGCTGTTGGAGATTGCTATTAGAGGAGAGAGGAGATGGAGGCAGAGACATAGATGATGCTAAGGTAGAACCTATCACCAATGTGATGGGATGGAGTGAGAAACAGATTTTGGTTCTTGTCCATAGGGACTACATTGTGTTAATGCAGGGCAAAGGAAGCTTGAAGAAATTGAAGCTTTCAATTAAGTTGCAACCACACCTAGGAGCAAGAAGCACTTACAAAGACGTTTTATTGAATGGGATCGAAATTTTGAAAATAAGTGACTCCAATGACAATCTTGCAGGTCCTAATCTTGAGCAACTTCCATCTCCCCCCTTTCATCCACAACATCCTCCAAGTCATCTAGGAACAGAAAGAGAGTAAAGGTAATTTTCATTATCATCGGCGTAACATTAGGCTTCATTGTGCTATCTCTTATTGTTTTGCTGATTTTTCATTGTGTGTTTGAGTATTTCTTTTATTTGGCTTAGTTTAGTTTACATGGTAAACCATGTAGCTCATCGCATAAATGTAGTATATATGTCCTCAGCGATCAGAGTTTGAGCTTGGAGAGGGAGAAGAATAGAGAGTAGGGAGGGGAAAGAGAGAGGAGGAAGGTGTAAAAAAAATTAAAAAATATATAGAGCCAGTTCCACCATTATATTTTATTATTACAAAAGGTAGCAAATTGTGGAGGCTACTAATAAATATTTAACCTTAGGGACATCATGGGATGCAAATTTTTAAAGTTGAGTAATATAAATGATCTATAGTTGAGTTTAAGATTATTTATGACCCTTTATGTGCATATCAAGAATATTTTTTACCCTTAACTAAAAAAAATGAACTTATGGGAACTTTAGATTTTCTCTTCTTTTCTTTTTTATACAAGAGAAAAAAAACTTTAGATTTTATTTTAGGAAAATTTTAGTCAGGGACCCTTGACCAAACTTAATCAAAAAGAGGACCTTAGAATTTTTGAAACTTTACTGAAGGACCTGTACGGAATTGCTCCTTAATTTGTGACAAAAATGACAAAATTATCCTTATTTAAATGAACAACATAGATGACTCGTTCATTCCTATACTGTATGTTGTTCATGTACTTATAAAATGTTATTCGTTTTCTTACTTCACTTGTTTATAGGTCTAGTTTCACTTGAGTTTACCCCGTGTTAGTTTCATGATAAGACGACTTGTTCATTCTCATACTGTATGTTGTTCATTTACTTATTAAATATTATTCGTTTCCTTGTTTCACTTGTTTATGGCCCTTGGAATGAAATTAAGTGAAAGTAGGCCTATAAACAAGTGAAGCAGGAAACAAACAACATTCCGTAAATAAATGAATAACATAGAGTATAGGAATAAATAAGTCGTTTATGTTGTTTACTTAAATGAAGGTAATTTTGTCATTTCCATCACAAATTCAACAGAAATTCCGTATGAGTCTTTCAATGAAATTTTAAAAAATTTAGGGTTTTGTTTTATATTCATTTCAGTCAAGGGTCTCTAACTGAAATTTTTTCTTTTATTTTCTTGTCAAATTAAAACTCAAATTGGTAAAACTGATCAGATTAGTTATTATGAAGAAGACAGGTGTTTTAATTTCGACGCTTGAGAAGGACAGTGCTTCCATTTCACATCAATGGTATAGCTAGGAATAAGTGCGGGCTTGACTCTTAAGGGCCTGGCCCTTATAAGCTCGGCCCTTAAGAGCTTAGGTTCTTGAACCTGGTTATTCATTTTTAGCTCCTTTTTTGAGGCCTAACTCTTATGTAAAGGGCTTAGGGTCGGGCTTAGAAGCCCTATTTAAAAAAATAAAAAAATTTAAATAAAATTAAACATTATAAATTAATTAAAATATTTTAAAATTAAAAAAATTAAAATCTACACAATATTTTAAAAATTAAACAACATATTTAGAAATCTAAACAACACACATTCATCAATTAAAATTCAAATCTCCCTCATCCTCATCATCTACAGATAAAATATTAGATCCCTCGGATGTAAATGTACTTGTTGAAAATGGAGGAAAAAATTCAGTGTCAATTGCCTTTCCAACTTCTTTTTCATCACCTATAATAAATATTAACTAAGTCATTATCAATCAAATATATGTATGTATATGCGTACATATATATATATATATATATATATAAAATAATAAGGCTTATTAGGGTTTGGAGGATTGCTCGAGTCTAAGCCCTTTTTTACAGCGCTTATCAAAACCAGGCCCTCAAGACCGATTCCTTTGAAAAAAATAATTTTCAAAACTCAAACCCTTATTTAAACAGGATCTCTAAGCTCGGCCTTCCAGATCCAGCCCTTATTCTCGACTCTATTGGTATAAGTGTATAGCAGAGTATTTAAGACTCTCATGTCCACTCTTAAATTTGTTATTAATTATTTTCTCCACAAGATCCACAACTCAACTGAAACACAACCATGTCTTGTTCGTGTTTGAACTAAATGCACAGAAATTAAGTTCCGCACGTAACTATCTAGCTAGTTTCTTGGGTATAGTTATTATGATCCATGATTATCCAATGATGTGTGAAATCTGAGTAGATGAACCAGAATAAATATATGATCCTATGTGTGCGTGCGTGCGTGCGTGTGTGTGTGTGTGTGAAAGAATAAAAATCTCAAAGCATTCTTTTTTGGTCCCAATGCTTCTCAATACATGTCAGATAGTATGTTTAATTAGATTTTAGGGAAAATGATATTTAAGCATGCTCAAGAACGCTAATTGCAGTTAAAAAATTTGAATTTTGAAATTTCAAAAATGAGATTATAGTTCTTGGTTGAAATTAATTTTTTTCTGAGCTAATTTTTTTAATAATCATCTTCTATACTTTCAATACTTTGTTTTTCAATTTTTTTAATGGTCATCTTATATATTTTGAAAATTTATCTTCTAAATTTTCAATACTTAAAAGAATCCAAAATAAATATTAAAAATATAAAATATGAGCAAATCTGGGCGCAAGTGGGGGTTATTGCCTTGCCCCCATACATCACACAGCCTTTAAAATGAATTTTATTTTTTTCTTTATAACATAGTTTAAACTAGATTTTGGCCTGCCATTTTTATTTTATTTTTAGTTTGACCCTCCCAATCATAAAACTTTAGATCGTCCTTGAATCTGAGTATTGAAAATATAAAAAATAATTATTGAAAATTTAAAATATAGTATTGAAAATATGAAAATTGAATATTGAGAAATTCATTTAATTTTTTTAATTACAAATTAACATCATGGTTCTTTTAAAAATGTCAAAATTTCATGATTTTTTTTATGATCCTTAAATGTCATTTTTTTTCTTGGTCTAACCAAACTATGGAACAATAATTACCCAATATACATAGGGCACATGAAAAGATGGATAATCCTAAACATTAGTAAGAGCCATAGTAATTTTTATATGCTACCTCCATTTCAAATATAAAGTGTATTTTTGAAAAATCTCACGTTTTAATGCATAAAGCTATTTACGAATTTTTAAAGACAATCAATGTCTTTTTTTTTCTAAAATATTCTTAAGAGTATCTTAAAATTACTCACATCCCTTTGTTAATATGTTATATTCCCTGTACATTTAAAGAAGGGAAAGTGAGAAAAAAAATTAAAATCTTAAGAGGTGTGTTGTTAGGTAAAAATATCACCTTAAACTTCAAAGAAGCGAATGGTGTCCGTATATATGATGGATGAAGTTGGTAAAAAAAATAATAATAATAATAATAAAGGTCTTGAATTTTATTTTTTCCTCCGTAATAAGATAAAATTTAATCAAACTACTTGAAAAAAGAAATTGGCCATGAAACAATATGTATCGAAACTAAAAATAAACATTGAAAACATTTAAAAAATGAATCCCAAATGATCAATTGAAAAACATGAAAAAATTATTCAAAGTGAATGTTCAAACTGAATGAACGCGATATCTCTCGTTAGCTACAACTATTCTAAAAGTTATCTTTTATATAATATCATTAAAAAAATCAAATATTTTATAATGAAAGATTGAGTAATTACTTTTAATCACATTTATAAAAAAGTAAATAGATGTGCCGATCACTTAGCCCACCTAATATCTTATGATAATTTGATACCACAATCTATGATGTTTTCCCGCATACTTGTAAAAGCTTTTTCCTTTAAAACATGATTAAATATTAGTCTCTTTATATGATTTGCCGTAACAATGTATTTAAAAATAAAAAAAATAAAAAATGAAAACTTAAAGAATAGAAAAGTTTAAATATATGAATCCAAACTAATCAAAAAGAAGTTATAATGACATTGATTAAGGTCAATTGATAAGAGTTCGATGAAATATAGAAAGAGGTAAATAATTTAAAACCTCCGGTAGAAATTGATCAGAAGTTAAAATTAATGATTCTTTGATTTCACAAAATTGATTATAAATTACTTCAATATAATCCAACCCAACCAAACCTACAAATAACTCCTATCAACCAGACTCCACTAGATCCGCCATTGCAATCAAGGACAAGAAGGACAAAAGGGAAAAAATAAAAAATAAAAAATAAAGGACTAAGTACTAAAGCCTGGCCCTACCAACAAATAATCCCCACGCAAAGTTACATAGTACTGAACAGAACATAGCGTTCTTGCTTTAGTTCACTTTAACATCTCAGAGTCGTGGAGTTGGTGCAAGGCTTTATTGAACGAAGAGAAATTCCTAGTCCACATGCCACAGATAACTAGCCATGAATCATCTTGACTTTCAAGACAGCAACACGAAAAACAAAACAGAGCAGACAAAATGGGGAAAATTACCGGCAGAAGAGCACCAAAAATTACAGTATGAACATTGAAATGAGGCTGAATCAATCCAAGAGATAAGATTATAACCCTAAGAAGATGATGAAGTTGCTTGCTGGATGAATGAATAGCTATGTAATATGTTTTCATCTGTCCCGGAAGTTACTATAAGGTGAATCGGAAGCAGCCATTCTCCCCTGTAAATTCAGGTCTGTGTAGAACTTGTTAATGAATTCTTCGGCCGCCTTGTCGACTTGTGCATCTCCGTCGTTGTCGTCGTCTTCTTTCAAGGGGAAGGGCGAATCGGTGATTCTGAGTTGCCTTCCGATAGGGCTCTTGCCGAATCCAGGCAACCCCACCGACGGCGAATTCGCTAACTCGAGATTATCGACAAGAACCTTCCGGAAGGCATTGAAGGCGCAAACGTCGTCGTATTCGTAGCGCTTGCGCTTGCTCTTCTTCTTGTTCGTGACGGTGCGGAAGGGGAAGGCAGGGCTGTTGCTGCAGCTGAACTCGTAGTCGCTAGGAAAGATGAAGGAGAGGTGAGAGTCGTGGGAGCGGCAGGTGAAGGCGGCGTAATGGTGGTGTAGCATAAGGCTGCTGGCGATGGCCTTGCCGGCGGCGATCTTCCCTCGTTTCACCAGCAAATTGAGATCGAACTTTATTTTGCTCTTGGCTATTCCCTTTTTCAACATGAACACCATTACACGTACAACGTTCCAGAGTGCCACAACCACCGACGCCGCCGGACTAGCCTCCATTTCCGTTCTATAACAGTGAGTGAGTGTGCTTGAAGAGGTGGAGAGAGAGGTGGGGGGGGGGGGGGTGGGAGTGTCTATGATTATATGCGACGATTGAGAGGGAAGCAGGTTATTTAAGCTTTTGCTTGCTAGTTTATTTTAAAAAAAAAAAATTGTCCGCGTTTCGCTTCCATTGCGTTTTGAATGCAATTCTGAGTTATTCAAAGCAAATTTTAATAATATAGACTAATATTTTTTAAAAAAATTATTAAATTTAAAAAATCAAAATCAACCCAAACAATCTCCACTCAGTGTAGAGAAGCCATTTTTCTGAAATTTAAAAGGATCCTGATGTGATGGATTTGATAATAAATTAAATTAACTAATTAACTTTTTTGACAATAATTAACTAATTAACTAATGACAAAAGTTGAAGATATTGAAATGGAAAAATTTCAAAACCCTTGATTAGAGATAATAAAAAAGTGAATCCTCAAATTTATAAAATTTCATTGAAAGATTTGCACGATTTTTGTTTGAATTTGTGATGAACAATAAAAACAATTTATTTGTTCTCATACTATATATTATTAATTTACTTACAAAATGTTATTCATTTTCCTACTTTATTTGTTTATAGTCTTATTTTCACTTGATTTCATTCTAGAGTCATAAACAAATGAAGTAGGAAAACGAACAACATTCCGTAAGTAAATGAATAACATATAGTGTGGGAACAATCAACCTTATCATGAAATCAACACTGGGAATGAAATCAATTGAACTTAGGGCTATAAATAAGTGAAGGAAAAAAACGAACAATATTTCGTAAGTAAACAAATAACATATAATATAAGAACGAACAAGTCGTTTATGATGTTCATTTAAATAAGGATAATTTTATCATTTTTATCACAATTTTGAGAGAAATTTTGTATGAGTATTTCAATAAAATTTCAAAAATTTTGGAGTTTTTTTTTCATTATCTTGAATTAAAGGTCCCCACCTAAAATTTTTCCTATTGAAATTAAGGGGAAAAAAGTTATATTAGGAGAGCTATTTTATTTTATTTTATTATAGAAAAAAGTTTGGGTGACTTAACAATCATTAAATATAACTTTATTGTATATGTATACAAAGAAGCTGTATAAAAAATTCAAAAAATTAATTATAGGTGGTTCAAGTAAGGAATAAAATACTATAGTAATGATTTTCTAAGTAAGGTTTTAAATTCAAAGTTTGTGATATGATTTGCAAATGAAAAAAATATATTGAATTTTTTTGTGAGAATAAGGAGTACGCCCCCGATGACAAATAATATTTTTCATGAGATAAACTTCTTTATTTACTGTTTAACACATTAAACTTAAGTTAATCAACAATAAAGAATGTTAAATAACCTTTTAGAGTATGACTAAATTAATTAACCCAAATTATTACTAGCTTAAATATGATTTTAATTAAGCAACTAAAAATTCCCATGATTTCCCCAACATTATGAATATTTCTACACAAAAAAAGGTAACTAAATAAACCCCTCATGTGTAGAAGAATAATGTTTTTTTAAAAATATACTAAATATCATAATATATTAAGAATGGAGCGTAGAATACTTCGTTGGATGATAGTACGAAGGTGCACAAGTATCGTGGGAGGTGGCTATGGAAATAAATTATTGATGACGCGTTGGAAGGTAGTAATGATTTGAGATATAAATTATTAAGTTGTTTGTTTGCTGTCGGTGTCCTTCGAAATTGGATTGAAAGTTACTCGAGAATTCGTGTGGTGGAAAATGATTTTCAATAATTGGAATTGAAATATTAATATTATAAGTTGAATCTCGGTCTCTCTCTCCCGGTCGTGTGCCAACCTTTACACAACAGTGTTGTATATAATATGTTAATTTTTATTAGATTCTATAGATTATATGAGTTTGAGGTGGGCGATATGAAGTAGAATATCTGAGTAAGATTTAAGAATTTAAAATCTTAAAATTTATGGGGAAAAAAAATAATAAACTAGGTTGGCGTCTGGCTCGATCGACTCTATAATTTGCAGGAAATTCCCAACTCATTTTATATCTCAAACTTTTATAGTCCGACTTTTTATTGGTTGAACAGGTTTGTGCAATACTCCCAGCACTGTGTGTATATATAGATAGATGGAAGCATCAAGTCATCAAATTAAATAAAATATATAATTACAATATTTGGGGTGAAATCAATCACCAATCATTTGTTATAAATAGTGTGACTAATCTCAAGTTTCGGATAGATATACAAATTATTCTAATTCTATGAACGGATTTTTCTTCTATAGTTATATGAGGAGAATTTAAACTTTTGATCTCTATCATTATTACAAAAAATGGTATATAAAACAATTATTTTTACTAATATTAAATGGTTATAAACTATTGAATAATCTAACAATATTTCATGAGCATCTATTCAAGGGTTAAATAATATTCAATATTTCTGTAATAAAAACCGTATAATATTTGTTTCAAGTTTAAATGTTTATTATTGGGAAACAGAATATTCAATGGTTCAAGGCAAAGAATTGTTGAATATGCTTACACTATAGATTTGGTTACAATATTAAATAGTTTTCTCAAACAACCGTTGAATATTGTGACCAAAATTTTTAAAATAAAGGGGCTGCATTTCTAGTAACCCCTTAGATTGAATATTTACAAAATATAATTCCAGCACCTAGAATAGAATTTTAAAAGCCAACAATAATCATATATATAAAATTTACATGATGAATTCCTATACAAGTTAAATACAATTTGATGTTACTTAATTTAAACCAATTAGTGGTCAAAATAAAGCTCCAAAACTCAAAAATTGGCCAAGTATACTTCTATCTATATCAACTTTAAATATATACCTATATGATATATTTCTTTACTATTACTAGTTGTTATAAGTAAACTATACTTGAAAAATACTACGTGCCAGCTTTTTAAGGACTTCTTTCATTTAAGCCTTATACATCACATTATACGTTCTCGTGGTATTGAACACAAAAACAACACAAATTAAAATCATATTAATTAATGAAAATAATATAATGATGAGAATGTTGATAACATATATACTCCATTTAGTCCTATTTATAAGTCACTTCTAATATATTTCACTAGAATCAAGAAAAACATTAAACCTCATTTACTTTGTCTTGAAATTTATTAAGTTTCTTACTTTACTCCTAATAAATATTCTTAAATCTCATTAATAAGGAAAAAAATGTAAAGAAGAGCATTAGAAATTAGCAAGTGCCCTATAAATAGGATCAAATTTTTTCTTCTCTCTCTGCCTTATAAATAAGATCAAAAGAGTACATTGTTTGGAAGAGTCTGATGGGAGTGTGTTGGATTATGTCTTTCATGTTCTTCTTGATAGTGTACCTATAATCCTCAACTTTGTCATGTTGTTTCGAGCACTATGATCACACAATGGATAAAAAAATTATGATTAATGACATGACATAACTTATAGTTATGTTGCTAACATAATTAATGATAATTAAATACATATACCTTGATGACTGTCCATGATGTCGCTGTATCAAAGCTACTGCTACCCTTTACTAGTTGTTGGAATTGCTAATTGACCTTAGTACCGTACGTGACAATGGCGTTAACATGCGATAGAAAAGTTAATATGAGAAATATTTATTTAGAAAGAATGAATTACATACATATATTCATAAAATTTAGTGAACTTATTGATTAATCATCTCTACTATATGCGAACTATTGTTAGGATTGCCTCCATTAAAAGGGTCGAGGTATCATACTCTCCCAATAGTTGAATTGATCACAAATAATACTAGTGCCTCCTATGATAATGATTACAATTAGGAACTATCACAATTTAATTTAAAAAAAAAATGAAATATCATAAAGTGACTTACCCTTCACAATAAGGTTCTATGAATAATTTTATTCTTATTAGTGCCACATTGCTTGAAGTACTAAGAAGGCTTTTGAGCTATTTCTAATTCTTTCTTAGGACTCATTATCTCATGGCCATGAGGAGTGACCAAGTGGGGATTGACAAGTATAACTCTCTACACCACATCTCTCTAGGCAAGCATGGTGGTGTATAGGTTTCTTAAATGTCAAAATTAGTAGATCAATGAATGACTAAAATACATTGCTTGAAGTACTAAGAAGGCTTTCGAGCTATTTCTAATTCTTTCTTAGGACTCATTGTCTCATGGTCATAAGGAGAGACCAAGTGGGGATTGATAAGTATAACCCTCTACACCACATCTCTTTAGGCAAGCATGTTGGTGTATAGGTTTCTTAAATGTCAAAATTAGTAGATCAATGAATGACTAAAATATATTGCTTGAAGTACTAAGAAGGCTTTCGAGCTATTTCTAATTCTTTCCTAGGACTTATTGTCTCATGGCCATGAGGAGAGACCAAGTGGGGATTGACAAGTATAACCCTCTACACCACATCTCTCTGGGCAAGCATGGTGGTGTATAGGTTTCTTAAATGTCAAAATTAGTAGATCAATGAATAACTAAAATATATTGCTTGAAGTACTGAGAAGGCTTTCAAGCTATTTCTAATTCTTTCTTAAGACTCATTGTCTCATGGCCATGAAGAGAGACCAAGTGGGGATTGGCAAGTATAACCCTCTACACCATATCTCTTTGGGCAAGCATGGTGGTGTATAGGTTTCTTAAATGTCAAAATTAGTAAATCAATGAATGACTAAGATATATATATATATATATACAACTAAACATTTTGTGTAAGATTTTAGAAAAATACCTCATATAGAAGTTACACAACATAGTAGTAGCCTACACATGATTGAATAAGTCCATCAACACCTCATTGTTGACTTGGAAAATAGACTTTGGATCTACATACATCTTTGTAGGGAAAGGGAGCATTACTCCTTCTTGCATCTCTGCATAAGTCTAAGAAACTTCTAGTGTCTATTGAGTGCGACTACTGCATGCTAAGGTATTAACTGAGGTGCTTTAGGTGAATGGTCTTAAGGAAGAGCCTTTAATACCTTCTTGGGAAATGGGATAGAC